TCCCCAACCAAATGAGCTAACTGGCACAGGAAAACCTCCAGAAATCACAGTCCCCTTGCTCCATAAGAAAGCAGCACCAGTGTTTCCTAAAAAGGCAAGTGTGCATTTCAACAATGTCTATAAAGCAGTCACTCCACCCAGCTCTCATCACTCTACAGTTCCCTATCCTGCTCAAATTTCTTCGTAGTACTTGTCTCTAGCTGAAATTATCTTATTTTTCTGTTCACTTGTTTATTTTCTTTTCCTCTCCATAGTATTTCAAGCTCCATGAAAACAAAGACCTTGTCTGTCTTTACACCACTGTACACCCAGAGCCCAGATGGCTGCATACTCAATAAAAACTTGTCAAATAACCACAACTACCCAGGTAATTTACTTTAAGGTCACCCAGTATACAAAAGATCAAGTCAGTACCAATAAATCAGTTAAGTTCAATGTAATAGCAAATACAAAATAAATTATCACTCCATTTCTGAGTAAGAGTGATCTTTAAAACTGTTCCCACTTTTGTACGAGCTTCGAGGCTGAAAGTTTGACAAGGTTTGATGATTTGGAAGACAGGTAATTTTCGACGTATTTTATGGAGAAGTTTTATGAATGACCAACACTTCAGTAAACCCAATATGGCCTAAGGAGCAAAACCACCGTGGTGGGGAAGGGCCTAGCCTCGCTCCAGGTTAGGAACCCCCTCTGCTTTCTGGAAGTCTTCCTATCTGAAAAGTGTCACCGGATGATGCGCTTCTGAAGCTTTCAGCAAAGAGCAAAACTCACGCTTCACTAAATATGTGTTTCCCACTTCTAAAGCACTCCAAAACCATTCAAGAGACTTTGGGATGCTTGGGTATCTGAATTTAAGAGGAGACAAAGTCCACAGCTGTAAGTGCGAAGAATCAGAGAGTTCCTGAACAAAGAAAACGTTTTATATGCTATCAACAGAGTACCAACTTTCCAGTAGATATTCTGAGTACCAACTTTTCTTTAAAGCCACTTTTATTACATATCTTACAGCAAACTGCTCACTTTTATTTTCCTGTAAAAGCTCTAAATACAAGGGGGGAGGGTACAGCTCAGTGGTAGGGTGTGTGCTTAGCATGCACTAGGTTCTGGGTTCAATCCCCAGTGCCTCCATTAAAAAAAAAAGCTCTAAATACAGTACACTTTTCAGGAAGATAGTATTCAAATAAACAGGAATTAAATAAAACATGATTTCAACTCAACAGCATGATAAAAACCTGGAGATGAAGCTGAGAAAAATTCTAAGTCTATGGTAATTACCCAGTGCAAAAATTTTCCGATTTTTCAATGAGTGTTAAGCAGTATGGGAAGGTCAACATGCAGTTATTTATCAAAGAACCACTAATCAAGAAGAGCTGCAGCAATGTTTTAGCAATGTTTAAAGAGACCGCTGCATTCAAAGAAATAAGAACAAAAGTAAAGTATATTTAATTTATCACCAAGTCTAGGAAGTTGCTCTGCCCAACACTCAAGAACTTCAACTTAACAGGACAATGGTTAGGTAAATCTGTGAATTTGTGCTTTTGTTTTGCTTTTTTTTCCTTTTAAAAACTGGCACCCTCTTTCAGGAGACTGGCAAAATGGGCTGGGAAATACTACTTTAGCTATCACCTAGGGAAGGATAGTGTCTCTTCCCCACCCACAACCAGCTTCTATGCGCACTCCTTTATTTACTACCTCGAATGGCTTAAGAGCACGTCAGCCTGGTGGGAAGGCAACCGGCCAGCAGCAGGTGCCTCCTCCGGGCTCCAGTACTGAAGACTGGGTAAAAGGACGCCACAGAACAGGCAGAAGGAAACCATTCAAAGTGATGGACACGTTCTAAAACTGGATTGTGGTGATGGCTGTACAACTTTTTAAAATTACTAAAAATCACTGAATTGTACACTTGAACAATTGGTGGGGTTTATGGTAAGTAAATTATGCTTCAATAAAACTATTAAAAAAAATAACAGGCAAAGGGTAGAACGTGGAACAGTGTAGATGGAAAAAGAAGTTTAAGAACCAAAGATACCCAACATAAAATTGATACTACATTCAAAATAGAGATCTCTACTGCCCCCTGAACTTCTAAGTAGCCTAGGAAGTGGAGCCTCCTCCTTCTCTTAACACGTGCCTTTGGAGCTTCTGATCTTTCATTCTGCTTTATGCTGCTCCAGAAAGAAAAGACCTTCTAAATTACTTTCATGACTCTACCTGCAGAATTAAATTTATCTAGTACACATGGCAGTAACAGTGAAAGATGGCAGGTAATTTTGTAGGTATCAATTCTCCTTGTCCAGAAGAGTTGCAGGGAGGGGGAAATCCTTCTAACTGATGCCCAACCCTGAGTGCTGGGACTTCCCATAGCACTTTACTTATACCTCTCTTAGAACCGTTATAACTTGGATTATGGTCGTTTCTGGACGTGTCTTATCAACCTTTTTTAACACCCCCCCAACCATGTCGAGCAGAATCTTTCACATCCTAGGAATTAAATGTTCTTTGGATGAGTGGCAATATTTTCCTAATCAAATTGAGTAACATCAATTCTAATCTCAAAGGGTCTACACAGTTCTGTGTCCTACTGGACTGCCACCAATTCAAAGCTGACTTCTTTGCTTTACTGGTAGATATACGACAGCAAAACAATGACAAGAGTGACGAACAAACTCCAAATGACCACTGGGCTAGCCAACTAGCAAAGCTGTTAAAATATGAAACAGCAGCTCAGAGCAATAAAACCCAATTTCTATACCAGTCAACAGATTAGACTTCCTTTTATTATTTAAAAATTATCCTAGAAAATTACAAGAAAAAGGTCCAGGTAAAAAACAGAGCAGTAACTAGCAGCACACAGAAATTAACCAAGTTAATACACTGGATAGAACACAAACCTACAAAATTTACACATGAAGCCCATTCACTGCATAAGAAACACAAAATGTTATTTGCCTTCCGATTAATGACTTCTAGGGTAAAGTCTTTTTATAGAGTTCTAGATCTAACACACCAAAATACTGACAATAACCAAGATGAAGCTAATTTAAGCTATGTAAGAATATCAAGAGTTGGTAAGATTTTAAGTCCTCAGATGTCTAAAATCTGTTCAAATTCTATACAACCACAGACATCAAAAAATTACAAGGAGACTCTCAAAAAGAATAGGTGAGTATCCTGTCCCTGAACAGACTATAGAATATTTTCATTATTAATAATACGTTTGTTGAAAAAACTGAATTCCACTGCTGTCATCTGTGACTCAAAACATTTTAGCATCTATATTGTTTTTAAAGTCAAAACCTTCCACGTGCTTCCAAAAAGTTGATGAGTCAGATTTTTTTCTACTTGCAGAAACTGAAATGCATTTTATTATGAGATAATTTTTCCCAGCAATACATCGGATGTAAACTTAAATTTGCTTTAAGTTTCTCTTCATCAGTAAAGTTCTCAAGTTCTTAGGAGTTTCCTAGTCATTTACTTGAACATCATCTACGGTAACACTCAAAGCAAAACCACAATAAAGAGGTTTGGCCTCTGAGGGATTCTACACGTAAAAAAACATTACTCATAAATAAAATACAATCACTACCGCTTTAGATAACAAATACATTTCTAAACGTTCATGTCATTTGATGGAATTCCCTGTTTTAGACAGCAAAACAAAATCTACTAAGCTCCCAATGGGTGTTCTTTCTGCTCTATGATAACAGAAAATATTGATATGAGTTCACTTTAAAAACTACTTACGGGGAAATATTTCTAGTTCCTGAGTATTTTTATTCAAAGGTCTCATTATTTAGAGTTAGTGGAATTCACAGAACTGATCCACCAGTCACTGAACCAATTCATCCCAGTTATTCTCAAGTTGCCCAATACCCTACTTACTCCCAGGTATAAATAAAGCATCTAAACCCTAACAGAACACATTCATTTAATCAAAGAACAAATACCTAGTTAGCAATGCAGAGCACTACTTATACGGTCATGTTGGAACACCACCAATTAAAAAATAAGTACCTGATGAAATGAGACTTTTGGCAACCAACTTTAAAGATCCACCAGGAACTCACTCTTTCTGTGTTCCTTTCACACACACACACATACACACACACTCCAATGTCTGACCATTAAATGGCATAAAGAATAGTATAACTTCAAACTCTTAACATCACTGAAACACATTCCAGATACAAGTAAAAGATGACCGGAAAACTACAAAAATCAGCTTCGAGATTTCATCCAAGTACATCTAGTTCAACTCGTTTTGATACCCGAAGGTTTAGTACCTCCAACAAAATGAAAAGGAATTTTCTCAACATTCTTTTCATCATAGTAAAGCTTTAAGCAAAACTCCAACATAATCACACCGTTCATTTCACACTTTGCAAAAATCGTCCTCCATCACCACTCTGCATAAGTTAATCAGAAAAAAAAACCCCAACCACACACAAACTGACCCTTCAGTCTTCCCCAAAATGCACTTTCTTTATCAAACCCCAGAATTTATTTTCAAGTGCAAGAAAAAAACCAGACATTTGCAGCTCAGGACAGGAAAAGCACAACCACCACATTATCGTACAACCACCACTCCATTTCTCAGAGAAGAGAAAAATAATTCAGAGCAAGCAAATTAAAAACATTTTACACATGGCAAAAATAAACGGTCTAATGTCCTAGAATCCATAGCAAAAGTACTACGTTTGGATCCAGTACCAATAAGCCAAAGGATTCAAGTGTCAAATAAATTCAGTATCTATTTGAAATAAGACAAAACCTGGAAAAATTCCCTCCCATAAATCATTCAGTGAACATGAGGCTTTGCACCCAACATGAAATACACACAACCAAAACCACACATCAACACCCCCTCCCAAATGCAGAAAAACCCATAATCAACAAGTTGGAAAGAGGGCAGAAGTAGAGCTAACAACCTTCTTCCCCACTTCGAAAAAGAAAAAAGAAAAAAAGTCCTATAACAAAAGGTAACACAGATCTTCAAGTACCTGGTAGAGGTGCCTTTCCTCACATCGCAGATGCTGCATTTGAAGGCTTCGGCGCTGTTTCTGAAGGTGCAGACGCTACAATCCCAAAAGCCTTCATCTGCGGCAGGTTTTGCTTGTCTTTTTGGCCTTCGGCGGAGTGAGGAGTGGGGGAAAGGGGAGGGAAGAGTCAGGGAGCAGGAAAAAGGGGGAAAGACAGCAAAACAGGCGCTGGTGAGGCGTCGTATTTTCGCAGGAATCAGGCGCTGGAAACTTCGCTCGGGCGACCGACCACCCACCCACCCTTTTCGGGGACGAGGAGAG